GAGAGAGAGAGAGAGAGAGAGAGAGAGAGAGAGAGAGAGAGAGAGAGAGAGAGAGAGAGACTAAACTTACCTCTGCATTCACGTTGAGTCGTCGACGTTGTGCAACCTTTTTTTTCTTTTTTTTCAAAATCCTCTTTTTTTTGTTTCCACTTACGTGCGTCATCTCTGTAGGACGAATGCTTGTCTCGGTTCGTGCCACTGAAGATGGCAGAATTTTGGCCTCTCTCTCTCCCTGACCTACACACACCCGCACTCCCACAACCCTTTGGCGCACTTCACGTACTCCTAGGCGAACATGTGTGTCTGTGTGTGCATGAGAGAGAGAGAGAGAGAGAGAGAGAGAGAGAGAGAGAGAGAGAGAGAGAGAGAGAGAGAGAGAGAGAGAGAGAAAGTCGACTAAGGCTCTCGCTTCATTACATGCACCAAAGACAAAAGATAAAACAAGAAAACGTGCTTGATCTTCCCACTTTCCAACAAGGGCACGGTTCCACTAGTACACGAGTCATGGCCTATTAGGACCTGTGCGGCACTGTAAGAAAAGGAGGAAAAGTAATTTTAAAGACTTAAAAAAAATAAATGGGGACGTCTTATTTCCCAAGATGGGAAGGAGACCGACTTTTGAAACTGCTTTCGTCCGACTAACCCTCCCGTCTCCTCCCTCTCCTCCCCGTCCAGCCAATGCCTAATCAGGACAAAGTGGTACGTGACTGTTGCAGTCTTGCATACCATGGCGAGGGAGTCCCTTCGTGTGCCTGATGGGACTCCCTTCTCTACAGGTTGCCATGCTGAAGTGTTCAGTTCATATATTTTGAGAGAAAAATCAAGTACCGGATGAGGTTACAATTGACCGGAAAAAAGAAGGGGGTCAAAAACATGCCCGTCGAGTACTTGATTTTTTGAAGAGCTGCCAATCAAAATGAGTCTTTCTATTTTCTTTTCCCGCCTCCCATTCTTAGGAACTCAAAAGAAAAAGCACACACAAAAAAAAAAATAATTTCATCATATAATTTTATTGCAATTTCTTTGCCATCGGATTATCCTGCATCAGTGGTCAGAGGATATCCTGCAGATGTCCCATAAGTGTTTGTGGGACACAGTTTACCTTACTCCTTCGGTATTTGTTAATGTGTAAACAACTCAACATAAAAGAAACTGAGATTATTACAGTACGGGAGGTACAATGATTGCTTAGAGCCGGTGGGTAATCTCTACCCCAACCGGTTTCGACCGCCACCACGCGGTGATCGTCAGGGGGATTCCTCCTCTCAGCGCCCTTCGTCAATATCCTTTCGTACACCTTCCCACTTCCACCTTCGCTAGTGAAACCGTGCTCCAGAAGATACATTGTATTTTTTTTGTTTTTTTGGCTTTTGTGAAGTTATTTTTTTTTATGTTTGATTTTTTTATTTTTTTTTTTGGCTTTTTTGAGACAGAGGGCCAAAACAAATTGACGGACAATTAAAAAAAAAACAAAAAAAAGAAATTGACTAACCATACCTTTCTCGACCTTTTTTTTTTTTTTTTTTTTTAGAAGAACACAATTCATATTCATATATTCGGGAAATGGGCTCGGTGTCCCTTACATCATTTGCTGCGGTCAAACGGGCTAAGTAAGGCACTCCCGACCAAACCTATCCCCACCACAGCCTCACAAGGTTACGAAAACAAATGATCCCAATCCCAACCCTAAAACAAAATCCACGTTCACTAATTTAACAAAAGTCAAATCCTAATCTACCCCTTTCTCCAAATCACCGTTATGAAACAACCCTAATCTAGCGAAATCCAAGCTAGATAACAGACCACGAACGAACACATAAACAAAATATTCAATGGTTTTATCCTACTTACCCACTACCAACTAAGAACACAAAAAATCAATAGTGTCTTACCCACGGATAGTCAATGATGTCATGGAATTACCCAACCTATGGGCAAAACCGACAGGGAACGTAATCCAACGAAGTAACACTTCTAAAATCATCTTAAGAACACTAACAAAATGGACACCTAATTAGAATTATGACACCCCTTGTCGAATTGCCAGTCCCCAAAATACCAATCACAAATACTAACAAGACTTATCCTAACGATTAGAATCTAGGAAAACACAATCATCTATACTCGCAATGCTTGCAATTTAGGGAAACAAAGTCAATAAATGTTAGAGCACTAGAAATCAGGAAGTCTTAAGCAACACCCCGTCCGAAATAGGAGTAAAGGCAACAGTGGACAACCCCGCTCACAGCTTGAAGTCCGCAGTCAGCGACGGTGGACGATACCGATCAGGGCATGAAGTCCGTCATCCATCTCTCGAAAGTCTACGTTTATCGATGTACTCACGTCTTTCACCTCGAGCTCTTCATCCAGATAAAACTGTATCCACTCCTCATCCAGATAAAACTGTATCCACTCCTCATCCAGATAAAATTGTATCCACTCCAACAACGCATTCGTTCTCCGTATCTATAATCAGCGGGGCAAAGTCCCTGATCAGGTAGTAATACTGATATGTACGATGCGCAGATCCTGCCCATTGACCGACCCCACATCTCTCTCCTTCCTTCTGCGGCCATCTAGGATTACCAACTTTCGGCGGCCAAGATTAGGTTATGGCAGGTGCATGGTTGTGCCCCCTTGAAGCGGTCTCCACCTCAGCGCCCACACGCTTTATCACCTCCCTGCCTCCGCCATACCCAACAGCAAGTTCTGGCTAATCGCAGCTTATCCACAGCTGCCCCCGTGTGATCCCCCACTGCCCGCGCATCGTAATAGTGCTGCGTTACGCACCTTTTGGTTAAGATAAAGTGTAGTATCTGTTCTGATCAGTTGAATATCTGATCCCTGATCCATACGACCACACACACAAAAAAAACAAGAAATTGACTAAAAAAGGCGTTGTTCTTAGCCAGTGTTTTTTTGTCTTTTTGCACATTTCGTGAGCAGTGCGAAGATACGGAAAAAGGAGGGGGAAAAGGGGGGACAAAACGACGAACAGTGAAACGACACAAAAAAAAAACTGGGAGGGGAAAAAAAAAAAAAGGGGGAACAAAACGACGGGGGCCCGCAAACCGGTTGGCTCCTCTTGGAAGCCGTCGATCTACGCTCATCCTGCGGCGGCCGCCCAAAACGATGGCTCTCCGTGAACAAACAGGTGTAAAACCAGTTCTGCACGCGCCCCGCCCGCCCCATCCGATGGCCTGCGCACATTTTCACCCCGGTTTTCGGTAGGCAGCGGAGATGGTAAGGGCCTCGCTCCACTTCTCTAGACATGCACAAAAGACAAAGAAATCACGGCGGTGTATCTCTCCATGTTCTAGCAGAAGATCATTCTCGTTTTGCACATTTTGTGAGTAGTAGAGTGAGGCCCTAAGTCCCCGCGAATCTAGCATCGGCCGTACATGTCTTGCTACAGCATCGTGGGTGGCTGGGCGCCACCCGCTCACCCACTCTCGCACTCTACCGGTAGTGCTCTGTTTTAACGGATCTCAATCGATCATTGAGCTATGCCTCAGCAGGGGGCCTCGGATAGCGATGGGGAGGGAAATGGGGGTCACCACCATTACACCTCAGGTGCGAGATGGGAGGCAGGAATCATGCCGGAGGCATGCTGGCGGGAGCGACGAAGGCAGTCTCGACGGCGACGAGCAGGACATCGATCTCGACGCAGGCGACGAGGCTCGGGAAAGCAGAGCCCCGTTAGGATGATGAGCAAGCGGCGCCGAGCGTCCATGGAGGAGCAAGACCAGGAAGGTGGAGGAGGAACATGGGAGCACGGCAAGATTTATCGAGATCTGTTTGGATCATCGGCTACGGCGACGACGATCAGTCAGCTCAACAATGGCTATGGGATAGGATTGGGTTGCCCGAAGTGGCTGCGTGGTGGAGAGACATTTGGCAAGAAAATGGATATGGGAGAACACTTCACAGGGGGAGGCAGAGCAGGAGGATGGCGCGACCCAGTGGGTCAATTCACAGGTGCAACCTCGCAGAGGCGTACTCCTTTTTGCTTCAACAGCGGCCGCAAGGTCCGCATTGACTGGCGCCGAATTCATGCAGTTGATATTGACCGCGTCGTCAGACAGACAGGCAGGTTTTTATTTATTTATTTCTTAAGAACTCTCCTCTATACAGTTGGGGTAACCCCTAGCATGATGGATTCACGCAAAAGTCGGACTTCTAAACGCGGTATTTGAACGCTCCATATGTGGAGCAGCAGCTCTGGAAGGGTGCCACTTAGCGACAGGGGAGGTTTTTGTACACGTTTACGTTTTGAACTTTGACATCCGGCAAGAAGACGGAGCTTAGAAAAGCTCGCGAACTATGACGTAGCTGTATCGCAAAGGCTCCTGCCCCCCCACCCTTCATCATCATCAATGTTGACGTCAGTCACAAGTGCGAGAAAGGAAGAAGCTTGCAGTTCTCATCTCCTCTCCCTCATCCTGCTACATCTGCTTCTGTTCGTACCGAGGGGAAGGCCCGATTATCCTCACGCACCCCCTTCTCGTCCCGTCTAATCAATTAGTCAGTTTACTCTGCCTCGACCTCATATCCATTTACAGCCGCCGCTATACGCTCATCGTGACCACACACACACTTAGCTCGTGTGTTTCCACGCTCTTTCTGCATGGAACATCCCCACGTCGCATTTCTCAAGTCCATATAAAGGTGGTTATCCTCTTTTCCGCTCGAAGCTTGATGCTCTCAAAGTCTCTGGTACTGTTACGGTGTTTGCATTGACCATATCGTATTCAGAGAGCTCGACGTCTTCATGCTGCTGCAGAAAGCGTTTTACTCTGTGTGTGTGTGTGTGTGTGTGTGTGTGTGTGTGTGTGAGAGAGAGAGAGAGAGAGAGAGAGAGAGAGAGAGAGAGAGAGAGAGAGA